CCCTAAACCCTAAACCCGAAACCCGCAGCTCCAGCCATATCTCTTGGACAGGAGACACGATTTCGGTAGACCTGCCAAAGCGCAGTGGTCGCGGCTAGCACCTCCGATCTCTTGGGCACATCAGAAGAAAGAGAACCAACGGTTTAGCTCTAGGCTGTCTAGGGTTTAGTGCCTGGATTTAGGATTTTGGGTTTAGGAACCTGAAAATCTAAACCAAAAACCACATAACCACAGTCACTTGTTCGTTGATATGTTTTAGGTTGGGGACTTCGGCACTGCGAAATATTTGGAGTTCTCTGGCTTGGGCTCTGTCGGCGTTCCAGCATGGGCGAAAAACGCGCAACAAAACAGTCCAACCCCAAACGCTAAAAATCTTGTGACGGGCCTTGGTACTACAACCTCCGCTCTGATCATGTTACACTACTACCTACCACTCAACTCGTATGATGAAGGGCTGTTATGCTGGCGAGGGTGCTGGTGAGAGCATACGGATTACAGTGAGAAGAAGGGGCAGGAGGGCTGGAGTACGACGACGGCGATGGTCTCGTTGCTTATGAAACGAGGCGGAAGACGATGATGTTGTGCTGGTGGTCATTTTGAGAAAGAGGGCGAAGATAAGTTTGAGATTGCTGTCCTTGCTGATCCCAGCGTCCTGGCATAAGCACCCCGAACTGTTGATGATAGAAATCCTGCATCACCCTAAGGACCCTAAACTAGGGGAATTATGGTATATTTCTTATTGTAGGTAATGCAAGATTTTTATCATCCTAAACCCTAAACCCTATAGAGCCCTTAAAGGAATCCCTTAAAGGTACCCTTATAGATCCCTAGGATCAACCATCATCAACCGGAAGCAGCCATAAGCATCTTCGGTCGAGGAGCAGCCATCAAACCAAACTGCGCGTACATCCTGGGGTCGAGGCCGGGGGTTCCTTTCCAGACCTTCCAAAATCCCTTAATTAAGGAATATACCTTCAATTATAATAGGATCCCAAATATGAATTAAGGTATATTCCTTAATTAAGGGATTTTGGAAGGTCTGGGCCTAAAGGGTATCTCTATGGGGTTTAGGGCTTTGGGGGGGTTCCTTAAAGGGTATCTATGGGGTTTAGGGCTTTGGGGTAGGGTAAAAGGGTTTAGGGATTTAGGGGTGTAGGGGTTGAGGGCTTAGGGTTTGTTAAAGTGCCGTTGTATCTATGGGGTTTAGGGCTTCTTCCTTAATCACAGTCAAAAAAAATTATAGTAAGCATACTACCCAGACCCCCGGGAGGATCCAGAAAGTAGATCCCCTAATTCGGGGCCTTATACTACTAAGGGTACATTATAGGAAGCCCCATCAAGGGATCTACTTTCTAGATCCTCCCGGGGGTCAAGTCTTGAGGGCCATGACATACTAAGGGTTTAGGGGTTTAGGGTTGAGGTTCATAGGGTTCAGGGTTGATTTTTAAGGTTTAGGGTTGATTGTTAGGGTTTAGGGTTTAGGGTTGATGTGTTTGTTATCTAGCTGGGCTGTAGATCCAGAGCTGCATACATGCTAGGCTGATAGTGATAGAGTCTTCGAAGCCTGTGCCCTCTACTTAAGGACCGGGGACCCACGCAAAAATAACCCAGCAAACCCAGAACCGTGAACCTTAAACCCTTGAACCCCAAAATCCATACCGCAAAACCCTCAAAACACTAAAACCCATATCGAAAAACAACCCAAAACACTAAAACCCCAAAACCAAACCGAAAAACACCCAGCGACTAAAACCAAAACCGAAAAAATCCGAAGCCTGGCGGCCCAAACCCAAAATGGGGGGTTTCCGAAAATAGGGGACCCTAATGTAGTACCCTAAATAGTAGGATCCTTGTTATAAGGACCCCCCCCCCCAAATAAGGTACCCCTAATATTCGGAGACTCCCCCAAAATCCTGCTATCCCATGGCCACGGCACAAGCCCCAGGTGAGGCCTCAGTCGCTGTGAGAGGGTTTTGGACTTGAAGCCTTCGGGCCTGAGGGTTTAGTTACCTTTCCCAAAGGGTCCAAGTATCATTATGGTATATACTTATAGGGTATTTTGGGGGTCTAAGTATATACCATAATGATACTTGGACCCTTTGGGTTTGGTTAGTAGGGAATGGAGGAATGGCGTACAATTCTAACTGCTAATACTACCATTCTTCCATTCCCTACTAACGAAGGGTAAGTTTACGGGTTCAGGGTTTGGAATTTAAGCGTTTAGGATTTACAAGCTTAGGGTTTAGGCTTCAGCGTTTGGGAGCCTGGGTCCATGTTGTAGGGGGTCTATATAAGTCTTGGGCTTTGTTTTGGGGGCTCAGGATGTAGAGTTGCGGGGTCTCCGGCACAATGGGATTTTCCCAGACCTTCCGAAATCCCTTAATTAAGGAATATACCTTAATTCATATTTGGGATCCTATTATAATTTAAGGTGTATTCCTTAATTAAGGGATTTTGGAAGGTCTGGGTTGTCTTGGGTTTATGGGACTTGGGAGTTGGATGCTGCTGCTCCAAATGCATGGCCCAGGATGTAGACGATCCATCGCGAAGGGCAACACTAGTAAGATGCAAAGCCTACAGGAAACGAGATGGGAAATTGAAATCATGATTGCAGATAACGGTACGAGGTACTTAAGTACTTGGTGATATGGAAGCGACATTTCACATATCAACGTCTTTGCCTGTGCTCATAGGTAGATGCAGCTAAGGAGCTGTTAAACCCAGCCATGGCGTCCTGCTTCTCACGGCGTGTTGAACGCAGGCGCTGGTGGCAGTGTGGCGAGCAGGCAGGTGCTTGCTCGAAATGGCTTCTCGTAGATGTGAACAACTGTAGAATGTGTGAAGTAGAAGAGTGTGAGCCTGTGTTTCGGACAATTAAGTCTGTCCGGGCTCACACTCATACTAAACCCTAAACCCGACTGATCAGTGCACAAGCTGCGGTTCCGAAGGCTTGTGCTGATGGGATTTCCTTGGTCTACACTTCCCTTGCTTGAACGCTGGCAAGCCGGCCGCTCTCCGTTGCAAGCTGCACAGCTGTCAAGGGACGGGGTAAGGATCTAGTACCATGAGTTAGGGGCAGAACCCTAACCTGAACTGATAGAGAGCTGATCCTGTGAATAAGGCCTCAGCATCGAAACAACAACATCTCCGAACCGACACTTTGTAGTGTAGACCTTCACAATTGCTTAGGGTTTAGGAGTTTAGGGTTAAGGATTTAGGGTTTAGCGGTCTTCAAGACTTTAACCCCTCGTGTGGCCCATATTCCAAACACGGAGTGCTGAACAGCGACTATACCCAAACCCCTCAAACGAGACAACAGCCGAGCCCCAAAAAGTCTGAAGGCCCTGATCCCCAAAATTAAGGCGTCGGTCGAACAGCCGCCAAGCTTCAGGAGGCAGTGCATCGAACGTGAAATCTAGTCTTGGGCTAGCCTTCATAGGTTTTGGATGAGGCTGGCTTAGGTGAAGGGTTGAGGTTTGAAGACCACAATCTGCAGTTCAAAGTCAAACATGAACCCAGCACCCTAGACCATCCTAGACCCCATAGCTGTAGATTCCGCCAGCTCGGGGCACTGAGATGAGCCATCTCCAGGAACACCAAGTACAGTCTCCGACAGCTTATACCATTCTGTGTTTGGGATTGAAGTGGTCTTTAGTTTCGGCCTGGAGGCTTTCAACCTGAAAAACATGTGAATCCTTAGAGCCTTCGGGTACTGTAGGGGCTAATATTGAGGGTTCCCTGTTATGGTTACTGTATCATGTACCCTGAAACCCTATTCCAAAAATTAAGGCCCCTACAGTATGTGCGGCCAGAAGCCCGTAATGACTATTAGTCGCCGGGCGAATCAGGAACTTGCATCAGAGCCCCAGGGGCTGAGTATCCTAGGCCCAACATGGTCACCCTTTTCAATTATGGTAGAGTTATATATACCCCAAAAGGTTCAAGCTTACCTACTCAACTACTAAGGGGCCGCTTTCCAAGAGAAGCTAAGCGGACTATCGTGCCTTGGACCCAAAACTCCCCGGGGTTTAGTAGGTCCACCGCATTCATGAATCTTCCAAAGCAGTTGGAGGCTTCGAGTTTGAACCACAAGCCCATCTCGAAAAGGCAAGGCCTCAAAGCCTGACCCCATGAATCTTCCAGTGCCTTCCCCTCTTCGGACCCCCTACTATATATATATATATATATATATAGGGGCCTACATAAATACAGTTACTTATACTATTTTGTGGGTTCGCTACTGTGATTATAACTTATATATAATATGAAGCCTGTTCTAGTTATTAAGGCCCCTATACTACACCTCCGAGGTACATGGTGCGTCTGGGTCTCGGGGTCATGGGCATAGCCGCCTTCATGGTAGTGTCCTCCCGCGCGTGACATCCTCTAACCGATAAAACAGACCCCGGCTCTAAACCCTATAAACCCTAAACCCTAAACCCTACACCCTAAACCCTAAACCGTGGTCTAGGATCATAAGGGGGAGAAGGGGGATTAAGGGCTTCCCGAACCCCGCCACAAATGCAGTGCAACCGTGGTCATGACATTTTCACCCCGTGCAAATCCTGAATCCATCCAGAAGATATGTTACCCCAAAGCTACTGCAAAACATATGTGTGCGTGTGTGATGTCTTCTGCGTGTATTCGTGCCATATACATGTGTGTGGATATACATATGTATACACGGACGAACTCCCCGTTTTGCATAACAACTATCTGTATCTTCAGTTTCAAAACCGCCCCGGACTGTTCTTCAAGCACGGCACCATAATTTTGCAACGCAAACCTCGCACCTTGCTGCAGGTGCCAATCTGGTGTACACATACTCCACACTGTACACGCAAAAAACAGTTATACGCCAAAACCCTAAACCTAAAGCACTGCAATTAAACACATGAGCCCCAATGCCAAAATTGCATGATCCCTCAAAACGGCACCATGAACCCCCAAAGCCTGAATCCCTCTTGTAACGCCCACAAGGCCCGCACATCACTGCAGCCCTATATGCTCCGTTTCCCATGGCCTGCGAGGACCAATGGCACAGAGCCACGGAATTCCCGCAAGACATCCAGGAGCTCGTCGTAGTTCCAAAGCCTAGGCGTCGAGAAGGGGGCACCGTTCAGAAAGATACTTGCAGTACAATTACCTCATTACGTACGTCGCCCCCCCCCGCCCACACACACTCCTCTTTCTCTCTCTTTCTTTTTTTTCTCTCTTTGTTTTTTTTTTTTTATCTCTCTCTCTCTCTCTCTCTCGCTCTCTTTTTTTGTTTTCTCTCTCTCTCTCTATCTCTCTCTATCTCTCTCTATCTCTCTCTATCTCTCTCTATCTCTCTCTATCTCTCTCTATCTCTCTCTTTCTCTTTCTCTCTCTCTCTTTCTCTCTCTCTCTCTCTCTCTCTCTCTCTCTCTCTCTCTCTCTCATCTCTCTCTCTCTCTCTCTCTCTCTCTCTCTCTCTCTCTCTCTCTCTCCTTTCTCTCTTTCTCTCTCTTTCTCTTTTTCTCTTCTCTCTTTCGCTCTCTCTCTCTTTTCTTTCTCTCGTTCTCCCTCGACCCCCTCTCTTCTCTCTCTCTCTCTCTCTTCCTTGCTCTCTCTCTCTCTCTCTCTCTCTCTCTCTCTCGTTCTCTCTCTCTCTCTCTCTCTCTCTCACTCTCTCCCTCCCCCCTCTCCAACGTATACATATATAAGTATATATATATATACATATATATATAGATAGATACATACATACATACAGCTTCAGATATAGAGAAAGATGTAGGTATAGATATAGGTTCTAGATATAGAAATAGGTATGGATATAGGTGTCGATATAAGTGTGGATATGGGTATTGATGTAGACACCAGACGGGATGCACTCCCCCTCTCTGTAGAAATAGGAATACACACATGTAGTGAAGGAGTAATTATGTATGTATATATATATATATACACAGGGGCTCAGAAGACAGGCACGAGCAGGCCTGATAGCTGATTTGCCCCCAGTGCAAGACGGCACGCAATTCGCCAGCTTGGCACACTAGGGCCCGCCGCAAGCGCCATAAAGCCCGCCTCCGCATCAAGAAAGCTCGACAGTCAGGTCGAGGCTTGCCCTGGAAAGACATCTGTCTTCTCCAGGCACACCACAGTGCCCCTGTCTATCGACAGGTCTCCGGGTACATGGGGAAGAAAGCCCAGGCACCATGGCACAGTTACTACAACGACAGAGACACAAGATCGCATGGCTCAGAGCGCTGGCGTGTGTGGCCTGGGGCTTACTCTCCCAGGCAAGCCCAGCGATACGACCAGTACTACCCGGAAGAGACAGATGCATGGTCAAAGAGTCACAGCTACAAGGCAGAGCCCAAAGAGCAGAACCCCAACACTTTGGTTTTGCAGTACATGCAGAAGGCAGTGACAGCTGCTCGCAAAGCAGATACAAAGATCAAAAAGATCCAGGAGGAGAAGGTCAAGCGTACAAAGCAGTGGGATTTGTATGCTGTGGACATGCGAGCGAAGTACCTCAAGCAGGAGCAGCTCTACCAGCAGGATCTTCACCGCCTGGATCAGGAGGAACAAGCGGCTATCAAGGCGGGCCAAGAAGCGGCTCAAGCAGTTCGCAACTTGGTCAACAAGTGGACCAGAGGCTGTGGAGGAGCAGAAGGAGGAACAAATGGGACCGGATTCCTGGGATCTTCTCTTAAAGGAGGGAGAGGAGCAGGACATCGGCAACGGCTTCCTCTCCGAGGCTCTCCTGGCAGCACGCACAGGTACGACTTGGCTGGGCGCACAACCGACATCTTTGCCAGCTCAGATGGAGACCACGGCACCTCCGGGCCTAGCAGCTCCCTCTGCAGGTCCGGAACAGGCTCGTACTGTGCAGACAGAGGCCCCAGCCAACATGATTCCAGAGCAAGCGGCTCCCACGTATGGACCACAGACGCGGGTGGAACCCTATGTTTCTTCACCGGGCATGGGCCATGGTTCTGGAGTCTCCTCGGGGCTTTCCCCTGGGACCAGGATGAGGAATGCTCTACCGACACCATCGGGTGGCAAGGGACGACAGCCAATCAAGCAGCACACGGCGCCTATTCCACCACAGGTGGGAGGACCTCCTCTGGCAGAGACGTTGGAAAAGCGCCGGGCTATGGATCCTTTCGGTATCCCTGCCGATCAAAGGGCAAAGAAGCCGGGAGAGGAGGAGCCACCCCCAGGCAGTGGTCCGCAATCTGCTGTAGCAATGGACGACGGGAAAGGAGAAGAGGGAGAGCTCAGGGAAATGGAGTAATCGACGACTGTGCTTTCTTGAGAATCGCTCGGAGCTTGACTGACCAATCGCTTCGCCTGGTGGGATGGTCCCAGCTTGTCCGGGGATGCCGTTTTTGGGAAACGGTCCTCCTTGGCAAGCGGGGCTTGGCACCCTTCGGGCAAGAACGACTGTGTCAGACAGCTCCTGGCGGTGTTCTCGCTACCAGTGAGGCATGGGTTCCGACTGCATGTACAGTTTTTGGAGGAGCACCTTCTCGGTGCCTTGTCCATTTCTCTCTGAGGCTCCTTGCTCTCTTTCCTTCCCTGCTCACCGTTGACTTTCCATGCCATTGGGTTTTTGGCGTGGCTTGGTCACGGTGCGGGCACTACCGACCACTTCCCCTCGTCTGTGCCATCGGTTCGTGGTTTTGTCCCGTTGGTAGCGGCGAGGAGGACTTCTTCCTCTCCTTTTCGCCGGGCTGTTACGCATGCCACAGGAATGAATCAGACACAAATCGCCTGCCACATGCAGGCCTGCTTGCCTCCCATGATGATGAGTCTGCTGGGCAACACAGTTTTGCATCGCCTGCCTCTTCCCTTTGTGGTTTAGGCCCCCCCCTAGGGTTTGTAGGCTGTGCTGCATTAGGTACTTCAGGCTGGAATGCCGAAAAGCCTACGACGAGTGACACAAGTGCTGCCTGTGTGCAATGGAGGGACAAATGCGCCGATTTTGGCTGCTGCCCTCCCCTCTTCCCATTTGCCCAGCCACACATTGTCCAGTTTGAGTGTGGTAGTCTACTGCTGGGATGTCGAGTATGGAGCCAGTGCATCGAGCTTCTGGGCGATTTTGCATTCTTTTGTGCCCTTTGTTCACTTGGCTGCCTGGTTATGCTCATGTGGCGGGGTCTCCATTGCTGCTCCCGGTCCGCCAAAACGGGTGAGCTTGCTTGGTGCACGGCAGCTGTTGGGAGAGCTGCCGTTTTCGCGAGTCCGTCGCTGGCTCAGCGTGGTTCACAGCGATTTGAGTTTGTGCCGATACCCAAGCATCTTCGGCGCAGGGCAGCCCGGCCCCGAAGCGGGAGTGGCCTTGTCAGTAGGCTGTGCTTTCAGGTAATGTGCCTCTTGGTTCTGCCCCAGCAGATCGGTGCAATGCACACTGGACTTCCCGCTCCTGTTCTCTCCACTGGAGTCTCTGCAGGTCTTCCAGCACGGGGGCGGCAGGTTGCTGAACGCACAAGTGCTACCCCAGTGCAGCCGAGCGAACCTCCTGATGATTGGCCCGAGGTGTCGAATGATAGGACACCACTAGGAGCGTATCTCTTTGCGCCCCACTACCAGACAGCAAGAGTAGGTCTGTCACTTGCACCTGAGGACGACCAGGAAACTGCTCTACGTAAGATAAGAGGTCTAGATGTGAATATTCCTCTTGAACTTCTTGATTGCATCTCTCCAGTCGATCCTCTTGTTTATGATGGTTATTCGGCGTACATTGCATATGCCGAGGTCCTTGACCATTTGCAGCAAGCTGCTGTTGTGATTGACCTGACACATGCCGGAGGGAATCTTTTTGCCACCGCCCTCCCTGAAAGGTTGCTGTATCAGGATTTCTTCGACTTTGTCAGGCCGATGCTCAGAGCTGACCATGATGACTTTTCGGTTTTTGTAGGGGGTTCCCTTGAGCCGCTCGATCACAACCTGCCCATGCATCTCGCTCATGGCGCTCTGATTACAGTGCTGATGACCGGAGTCCCACATAGGGTAAGGCAGACTCATGAAGAACTGTTTGCACTTCCTACAGGTTGGGGCTCCATTGAGGACATGCCCAAATCGTCTCTTACGCCTGGGCTCTGTGTCATATGTGGAGAGGAAAGATGGTATGTTCACAAAAAAGACCATCCTCGCCGCACCTTTGTAGAGGCAGCTGCAAGATGTGTAGGTAGGGGACCTGAGGAGGTCACCATTGCCAGAGCCACGCATCCTCCCATTGACAATCTGTGTGTTCATGGAGCACCATGCGTCGGCCTCACCTTGCTTGTTGAGCAGCCACCCCCACTCCCAGTACCTCCTGCGAGGCAACTGCGGCCTGATCATTTCGTCTTCCTTGATTTTCGGCCCCTCGGGAGCAAGCCGCAAGCGGTGTACCAACAACATGCTGTTGTTGACCTACCAGGCATACTTGATGCCTTCCAAGTGCGCTTACCACCCAGCTTTGAATTAGAAACCATTGGGGGGCAGCATGTTCAAGGCCAGCTTGTTGCTAACAGTGGGGATACTCTAGTTTTCAGGGCCTTCCGAGTTGAGCCCTCTGACGAGGAGTCGGGTGGCGCTTATGACTTTGGTAGCGTTTCTGACAGCTCTAGTAGCACTAGTAGCGATGACAACGATGATGCTGCTGATCATCGAAGCAATGCCAACGCCCTGCCTGTTGCCGGACGCAATAGACGGCCGCGCAGCCGTTCACCTCGTCGATATGGTTCTGCAGGGTGCACAGCGGCATCTACTCATGAGCTGCCCGGCGCCGGGTACTGCTCTTTCCCAGAGGAGGCTGCACCTCCCTTGCCTGAGCCTCCAATCACGAGGCCTGCTGGAGATCATACAACTGCCCTCTCCGATCTCTGGCCAGAGTCTTTCGCCGCTACTTGTGTCGTGTATGTGCCTGACACAATTCCAACCATCCACAAGGTGCCTTTGAGTGGATCTGTCAGCTTGCCTTTCTTTCTTGAAAGAATTCGGCGCACCAGGGCACCAGATGATGAGTTGTGGTATGGTTTCCTATTGCCTGTGAAACCGCAGCCTTATCCTGATTTTGCTGCTGTGCTCGCACTTCCGTCATGGGCGGTCGACCATTTCATTGCATTGTTTGTTGT